GATCCAGATCCTCTCACTGCCCCGTTCTCCATGTGCCTTCGTCTCATCGACCACCTGGCTACCCCTGACGAACTTGAAACGGCTGTCGCTGTCAGGAACTAGGTGGTCAGGCAACTCCCACTTGAAGCCGTCACTCCAAACTGCCGTGATCTTGCCGTCGCTGCCGTCGCTCGAGCCGCGCGTAACCGAGAACTCGGGCGGGTCGCTGCTGTCGGCGCGAGCGCGCCACGCCGACTGTTGGGCAGGCGCTCAAAACATCCCTCGCCTCCCCTTGCCAATAATGACGAGGGGTGGTGGGTGAGTGGTGGGTGAGGGGAGGCTGGGGACGAGGATCTGAGATCACACGAGGTCGGAAATTGTGGGTGGAATGCGATGGTCAGCTGTGTCCCGAGTGTCCTCCAGTCTCTCGTCGTAGCCGAGCTCCCAGCCATCCTTCGTCTCGACCGTCGTGAGCCCCGCCTTCGTCCCGCAGCTGCGGCGCCTCTTGGTGTGAGGAGGCCCCGCACCACCCTCTGGCTGCGCCGCCGCCGCTGCCGCATCCGCTGGGGCGGCTGCCGCTGGAGCAGCTGCCGCCGCTGCGCCCGGCGCGTCGGCATCGCCGCCGCCGCCGTGCGGCTCCCCAGGCTCCTCCATGAACACGTGCGCCCATGCTGGCGGCTTCCTGTAGATATCGCAAGATGGCTTATTATCGATGCGGCAGCGTCTAGTCTGCCGAATCCGATTGCCGTAGCGCGGGCCTCGTCCGAGACCCCGCATCCCTCACCTGCCCCACCTTCGCCACCTCCATTCCCCCTAGCTCCTCCCCCTACTCCTCCTGGCCCTCGCCCTCCACGTCGTTCTCCTCTCCAATCTCGATCCTTCTTACCCTCATCCTTCCTCCTCTCGTCATTTGCTCCCCCGTGTCCTCTGCGCGACTGCCACTCGCACGTGCCCTAGCATGGCGCGAAGCATGAGGGCTGTGTTCTTGATCCACTCGTCGCGCTCGTCGCCTAGGTTCCAGCCCTCAACCGCATCCTCCGACTTCTGGTCGGCGATCATGCCCAGCGCTTCCTGAGCGCGGGACGGAGCGGGCGTGCACTCCCGATTCCCAACTCCCCCCCTCCCTTTTTCATCCCCGTCCGTCCTCCCCCTTCTCCCTCCACCACTCCCGCCACGCCGTCTCCCCATCCCTCGTTCCACCTCCCTTCGTCGCACTTACCGTCCCTCCTCCCTCCTCCCTCCTCCCTCCTCCCTCCTCCCTCCTCCCGTTTTCGTGATTATCCCGAGCGGTCCTCGGTCGCTTTCTTAGTGATCGAACTCCCGAAGTTGCGGGTTATCTTGATCAGGATGGCGTGCTTCTGCAGCTCGTTCGAATCGACCCCGCTGGACCCTACGACTTTCGTGTAGGAAATCATGTCGGGCTCGGTGAAGCAGGCCATCCAGGCATTCTTCAGGGCCTCGGCGTCCTTGTAGGACGCGCCCTTGCCCTGGGGAGGAGGGGGGCGAACGGCGACGCGCGACGTGCTACGAGAGGCCACGGGTCACGGGCCAAGCACACGAGCAGTGGGCCACGGAACACTTACTATCCCCCCTCCCCCTCCCTCTTGCTATCCCTCCTATCCCTCCCTCGCCGTCGTCCCTCCCTCTTGCTATCCCCCCTCCCCCTCCCTCGCTTCCTTTTTCCCCCGTCCCCGAAAATTGCTCACATTTATGTTGTGCAGCGCGCCTTCTGCTTCTTGCCCTGCTCGTCGTCATCGCTGGCCATCGTGCGCCCAGCGCGGCTCGTGTGCGCGCGGCTCGGAGGTCGGCCGAGTGGCAATCCACTCGAGCAGACGCGGCGACGATGTGGGCGCCCAGAAGGGCACCCAGAGACAGGCGAAACGATGACAAGGGGACAGGGGCCATGATACAAGCGAACGAACCATACCCAGCAAAACGTGGCAACGATGATTCGTTTGCACATCAAGCAATATAGAATCGAACGCAGAAACATACACCTGATCGCATATTTAGACCGTTTGGTAAGCGCGAACACATGATATGTACACACATTTGTAGGATAACCATCATGGTGTTTATATAACCATCATGATGGTTATATAACATCTTGTATTGCAACAACCAAATTATGGTTATATGGAGCCTCTGGGTCCCCTTGTAGGGGGTCAGGCCCGACTTAACACTAGGCCTGGGAGCCCGGGTCCAGAGGAGTGGTCAGAGGTCGCTCCCGACGCGTCCGTCCTGCGGTGCGTTCCGGCGGGAATAAATCAAAATCAAGCGGGGCCCAGCCGTAGCGAGGAGGAGGGACCCCCGGCGGCGCAAGAAGCAGGAGGCTTCCTTTCCTCCTCCTCCTCCTCATCCTCCCTCCTCCCTCCTCCCCCTCCTCATCCTCCTCCCTGTCCTCCTCCTCCTCCTCCTCCTCCTCCTCCTCCTCCTCCTCCTCCTCCTCCTCCTCCTCCTCCTCCTCCTCCTCCTCCTCCTCCTCCTCCTCCTCCTCCTCCTCCTCCTCCTCCTCCTCCTC